GGGGGGAGAGATAGAAGGGAAGGCAGACTAGGGGAAGGGGTATTCAGAATGCATGCCATCTTGGGGTGGGGGGAGGGGTAAGATGGATTGAAAATTTGGAACTCAAAATCCTGTGGAAGCAAATGTTGAAAACTAAAAATAAATAAATTTTAAAAAAAAATAATATTTTGGTAGTTTGGTTGGTATGGCACTGAATAAGTAAATTAGCTTAACTGTCATTTTTATGCCCAAAGGGCTATCAAATTGTGCATCCCTTTGATCCAGCAATACTACTACTACGTCTGTATCCAAAAGAGATTTTAAAAGGGAGAGGGGAGGAGAGAGAACCTGTTTCTACAAAAGTATTTATAGCAACTCTTTTTGTAGTGGCTAAGAATTGGAAATTGAGGAGAGCCCATCAACTGGGGAATGGCTGATTAAGTTGTGGTATATGATTATAATGGAATATTACTGTGCTATAAGAAATAATGAGCAGGTAGATTTCAGAAAAACCTTTGAAAACCAGAACACTGTACACAGTAATAGTAATATTTTATGATGATCAACTGAGAATGACTTAGCTATTCTCAGCAATACAGTGATTCAAGACAATTCCAAAGGACTCATGAAAAATGCTATTCACCGGGCTATATCCCAAAGAGATCATACAAATGGGAAAAGGACCCACATGTACAAAAATATTCATAGCAGCTCTTTTTGTGGTGGCAAAGAATTGGAAATTGGGAGGATGCCCATCAGTTGAGGAATGGCTGAGCAAGTTGTGGTATATGAATGTGATGGAATACTATTGTGCCATACGAAATGATCAACAGGCTGACCATAAAAACCTGGAAAGACTTGTAAGGTCTGATGCTGAGTGAAGTGAGGAGAACCAAGAGAACGCTGTCTACAATAACAGCCACGTTGTGCGATGACTAACATTGATAAACTTAACCCTTACCAGCAATACAAGGATCTAAGACATCTCCAGAGGCCTCATGATGGAAAATGCTATCCACATCCAAAGAAAGAACTATGGAAGTTGAATTACTATTTTTTTTTCTCTTCTGTTGAGTTTTGTTCCCTCTTTCTGGTGGTTCCTCCTATTGGTTTTAATTTTAACTTACAACATCACTAATGTGAAAATATGTTTAATAGGAATGTAAATGTATAGCCTATATTAGATTGTGCACCATCTTGGGGAGGGTGGTGGGGAGGAAGGGGGAGAAAAATTTTAAACTCAAAAGCATATGGAAGTGATAACAGATAAATCAAAATAAATTGATATAAAAGAAAAAAATAAAAATGATGGTTGACATTGATAAAAAAAAAAATGCTATCCACCTCCAGAGAAAGGACTGATGAAGTCTGAATGCAAATCAAAGCACACTATTTTTCGCTTTTTAAATTGTTTTCATGTCCTTCTTCCCTCTGAGTCTGGATCTTCTTTCACAACATGACTAATATGGTAATAGGTTTTGCATTATTGAACATGAATAACCTATATCAAGTTGCTTTCTGTCTCAGGGAGGGGGAAGGTGAGGAAGGGAGAGAGAAAATTTGGAATTCAAAATTTTTTTTAAATGAACATTAAAAAATGTCTTTACATGTAACTGGGGAAAAAAATAAAATTGTATTTAAAAAAAAAAGATTCTATGTTGCAGAAAAGGTCCCAACCTGCACTGGAAGGCAAGAAGAATTTCTGCATTTAGGAGATTTTTGTGCCAGTGAAATCACAGGTCTAGTCCCTATTACTTTCCTTCTTAGTTCAGGTATGTCTTTTTGGATAAGGGATGGGGGAGACAAATGATGATTCAGAAAAGTTGAAGTAAAAGCAAAATCTGTCAATAAAAATTTTAAATGAAAAAAAAGTTGTAGCTGGAAAGAGATTAAGGCCTTTTTAAAAAGAAAGTAGTCTATATCAGAAGGCAAACTGATCTAAGATGACTGCTATGAAAACAAATGAGCTTCAATTTTAATTTTCACATACCTAGCTAAACCACTGATCAGAAGAGAGGATTCTATGACTTCCACTGAAATAGAAGAAAACAAAAATAGCTAAAGAGTTAGCTGGCAGGAAAACATGATAAGAGAAAAAAATACTCTTGAAAGGACTTTACTCAAAGATGTGATTTTATCAAAGGGTGGTCACAATGTCACACAACTATTTCTTCTTCCTACTTCACCATTAGACAAGACAGGATACAAGGTAGTCAAAGAAAACATAGCAGGAGCTTTTTATGTAACCCAAGAGGCTAAAAAAATCTATCTAAGGCTGACCCTCTCATTAGTACTTAACAGTTTAAATAGAATAAACAGACCATGTGAGCATTAAGAGAAGATTCTAGAATCCCACTTATCAGGCAATATGTTCACACTACATAAGTAGCATGTGAAATGAGAAGAATTAAGGGAAGAGCAAATTTCCAGGCTCCTTTCTCATGCTTCTTCTGGGGCATATGTTCATTGGATAAAATAGCAAGCGGAATTACCAGGATTCAATTGTCATTTTTCTTTCTTTTCTTTTGGTCCAGTGCATAACAACTGAATTTTCATAAGTTAAATTTGCAACTCTTCCTTATGTAAGTATTTCTGTTGAAGAAAAACATCCAGAATACATGTAATTTTTAGTAAATAAATTTAATAATTTAAAATTTCTGAGTTTGATACAGTTGTTGTATAATACAACATGGAGAAGTATCCCTCAAATATTTGCAATTAACCTATTAAGACAAAATATTCATCTTAGGACTTCACATTTGTTTCAGTAAATAAACTAACTAAAATATAATTTATTTTTGTGAAATGAATGAAATTATCTGAAAAAATATTAAAATAAATCACTACTTTAAAATGCATAGTACATAGAGATAGCACGGTATATGCAGTGGTATAAGTAACTGATTGGCTTCAGAAGACTGACACTACTACAGTCATATCTCCTTTTACTGTGCTTCACTTTATTATGTTTTGCAGCTGCATTTTTTACAAAATGAAGGACTGTAGCAACCCTGCACAGAGCAAATTTAGCAGCACCGTTTTTCTAACAGCATGTGCTCACATCATGTCTCTGTGTCACATTTTGGTAATTTTTTAAATATTTAAAACTTTCATAATTATTATTATATCTGTTATGGTGATCTGTGATCAGTGGTCTTTTACGTTACTACTGTAGTTGCTTTGGGGTGCCACAAACAGTACCCATATAAGACAATGAACTTAATCAATAAACACTGTGTATTTTCACCGCTCCACCAACTTGCTGCTCCATACTCTCTCCCCCTCTCCTAGGGCCTCCCTATTCCTGAGACAGAATCATACTGAAGAATATTATACAAATTGAGTTGATAAAGCAGCAGCAGAGTTTGAGAGGACTAACTTCAATTTTGAAAGAAGTTCTACTCTGTGTAAAATGCTATCAAACAGCATCACATGCTACAGAGAAATCTTTCGTGAAAGGAAAAGGCAATCAACACAGCAAACTTCATTGTTATCTTATTTTAAGAAATTGCCACAGACAACCCAACCTTCAGTAACCACCACCCTGATCAGTCAGCAGCCATCAACATCAAGGTAAGACCTCCCACCCTCAAAAAGATTATGACTCACTGAAGGATTAGATGATCATTAGCATTTTTTTAGCCATAAAGTATTTTTAAATTAAGGCATGTTTTAGACGTAACAGTATCTCACTTAATAGACTTTAGTATAGTGTAAACATAACTTTAATATGCACTAGGAAATCAAAAAATCAGTGTGACTTGCTTTATTGGGATATTTGCTTTATTGTGGTGGTCTGGAACTAAATCCACACTATCTACAAGGTATGCCTGTACTCACTGGAATATTTAGCAAGATATATATGCAAAAGATAATGTGGAGATAGAAATGACATAATCTGATAACTGAATATGTGTGGTGAGAGATAGTGAGAAGACAAACACCTGGGCAACCAGCTGTATGAGAGTGACATAGATGTTGCAAATCTAGATAGCTGGAAGACATTAGCACTCTTGATATTTATAGAAAAATTTGTTGGTGATTAACTTCTCCAGACATGTATCCTTAATTATAAAATGAAAGCACTGAACTAGAAGATCTCTATGGTTGCTTCTAACTCTAAAATTCCATGTGACTACTACATGTTATGAAGAATAAGCATCAAGGTTGGAGTAAGCAATTGTATTTTTAATAGGAAAAATATATTAAATTCAGTCCAACAAGAAATTTAAGTAATAATTTTGACCAAATCCACTTTGCATGAGACTAACATTTTTCTCATGTGAGACAGCTTATTCTAGTATAAGTAGTTTTAATAGTATCTGGTAAACCAACAAACTGTGGAATAGGGATTAATAAATTCTTAATCCTATCTAATTTCCAATGATTCAATTAGACCTAAAGGTATGCCTAGAAGAAGTTAAATGGAGCAGGGGATAGAGGGCTGGGTCTGGAGTAAAAAAAGATCTAAGTTCAAATCTAACCTCAGACACTTAATACTTCTGTGACTCTAAGGAAATCACTTAACCTCTGTCTGCCTCGTCTCCTCAACTGTAAAATGGGGATAATAATAGAACCTACCTCTCAGGGTTGTTATGAGGATCAAATGAGATTACATTTGCAAAGCATGTGATTTTGCATTCATAAAGCCTGGCATATAATAGGTGCTTAATAAATGCTTGTTTCCTTCCTTCCATCCTTATGTTTTTTTTGTTTTTTGGCTAGGCAATGGAGTTAAGTGACTTGCCTAGGGTCACACTGCTAGTAAGTGTTATGTCCAATCTGAGGCTGGATTTGAACTCAGGTCCTCCTGAATCCAGGGCCAGTGCTCTATCCACTGCGCCACCTAGCTGCCCCCCTTCCAACCTTATGAATGTCACAATTATATCACATCCTGGGAAAAACATTTAATGGCAGTTACCTATATGAAAATATCCCAAAGAGAATTATCCTTAACCTAGCTATATTTATCTTCTTTAGAGGGCTATTTCTACCAGTTTTGGAGGGAAGGGCTCCCTTACCTGTGTATCTGCTCCAGCTCTAGACGATGCTCCTGCAGTCGGTGCTGATAAAGCTGCTGCAGTTCCTCTCGCTTCCTGGTTTCCTTGGCAATAGCTTGCTTTAGCTTGGCCACTTCTATCTTGAGCTCACTCACCTCTGCCTTTCTAGCTTCCTCCAACATACTAGTTTGGGCAAAGGCAGCATCATAACGCTCCAGCTCACAGTCCCGTTCCTCTAGGACCTGCAAGTTATAGGTAAAGTCCTTTTTCAATTGACTGAGCTTCTCTTTTGCTTCCTGGAGCTGCCGCTGGGCATCCTGTAGGGCTGTTTCTTGCAGTTGAGCTCGTAGGGCCTGTAATGTTTTCCACTCTTCTTTTTTACAAGCCAAAAGTTCATCTAGTTCTTTCTCCTGTGGTAACATTGTAGAGTCTATAGTAGAGAAAGGGAGAAGTATCAGGAATCCACCTTTGAGAATTTTCTGCCAGTCTCTTCCCCAAGGTGAATCCTTACACATACATATGTGTGTGTGTGTGTGCATGTGTATACACTCTTGATACTATCACCTCCAATGAGAATGCCCCCACTATCATTCCCTTCTCTCCCAATATAATCTCTAGTCTCATTATATATTGGTTCCTTCCTAGCTGCCTTCAATAATGTCCTAGTCTCTCAAATTTTATAAAAAAAAATCCTTACTAGATTCTACCATCCCTGCCAGCTGTTGTTTTATAGCTCTCCTACTTTACTCATTATAACTCCTTGGAAAAAGTCAATTATAGTTACTGCTTCTATTTCCTATCCTCTTTCTTCTAAACTAACTGTAATCGGGATTCTGACCTCATCACTCAACTAAAAGTGCTTTCTCCAACGTTACTAATGATCTCTTTCTCCTGGATTTTGTTGGTAATACACAGAAATGCTGATATTTTTGAAGATTTATTTTAAATCCCACTACTTTGCTGAAGTTATTGTTACCTAATTTTGAAAGGCCTGATTGATGCAATGGTAAACCAGAAGTCTAAAAGAATAAAGATGAAACAAGCCACTAACTTCCTGCAAAAAGAAACAGTTTCAGATATGGCTAATACGGGTTTGGTTCGTTGTTTTTTTTTTTACTGGACTATGCAGATATGTATTGACAGATTTATTTGAGGGGTTATTATTTTTTTATTTGCACAATGGGGTGGTGCAGTGGGAGAGACAAACTGATCTTTTTAAATGCTTGTTAATTGAAAAAATAATATACTAAAACAAAAGAAGAAAAAACTTTACATCAATTTTCACTGATTAATGGAATAAGCAATTAAGCACTTAACATATATCAGGCACTATAGTAAGCACTTTACATAAATTATCTCGTTTGATCCTCACAACAACCCTAGAAGGAAAGGTGATGTTACTAACTCCATTTTACAAAAGAGAGACCAAGGAAGACCAAAGTTAAATGACTTATCCAGAGTTACACAGCTACTAAAATGTTTGAGACTACATTTAATTCAGATCTTCTTGACTCCAGGCCTCTTACAGTGAATGATTTCTTGAATAAATCACTATTGTCTATTTATAATACATATTTAAAATTATTGAATCAATATTCATAAACAATTGTCTATATTTCTCCTGTGCTTTATCTTCCCCTGCTTTGGATATTAGGGCTATATGTATCTCAGGAAAGGAATCTCAAAGAGTGCCTTCTTTCTCAATTTTGGAGAATTTGTGTAGTATGGCTACTAATTGTTCTTTAACAATTAGTTAAAACCGAATCAATAGCTACTTGGCATAGTGGATCAAGTGCTAGGCCTGGAGTTAAGAATACCAGAGTTCAAATGTGGCCAACACTAGCTGTGTTACCCTGGGGAAGTAACTTAACTGCAGTTACCTCCCAGGGTTGTTGTGAGGTTCAAATGAGATATTTGTAAAGCATTTAGCATAGTTCCAGCATACAGTAAGTGCTTAATAAATGCTTGTTTTCTTCTCCCTGTCCCCCTTTAGAAGTCTGACAGGACCAGGAAATTTTTTTCTTTGGTAATCCCTTTAAATTGTATTTTCTTTCTATTTCGTTTTCTAAGATTGGGTTATTTCAGATCTCTATTTGGTCTTCTGTATGTTCGAATATTTTATTTTTGAGGCTATTCTATTTCTCTTATGTTCTGAGTTTTGTTAGCATATAACTGCACAATAAGTTGTGATAATTTTTTTTCTTCTTGTTTTGTTGTGATTTCACTTTGCTCATTTTTTATTTTGTTAATTAGATTTACTGTCCTCTTCTTTTTAATTGGACTGGCTAAAGGTTTATCAATTTTATTAGTTTTTTCAAAGAATGAGTTTTCAGTTTTATTTATCATTTCTAAAGAGTTTCCTTGGGGCAGGGGGAGGTCCAGTTTATTTCTTCTCTGGTTTTTAATACTTGTTCTTTTGTGTTTATTTTATTGCTATTGTTCAGTTGTTCAGTCTGACTCTTCATGACCCCATTTGGGGTTTTCCTGGCAAAGATACTTAAGTGCTTTGCCATTTCTTTCTCAACCTCATCTTACAGATGAGGAAAGTGAGGCAAACAAGGTTAAGTGACTTGCCTACAGTCACATAGCTAATACACATCTGAGGCCAGATTTGAACTCAGGAAGATGAATCTTCCTGACTTTAAGCCTGGAACTCTATCCACTGTGCCATCTAGCTACCTTGTGATCATTCTAGATTGATTTATTTCTTGGCTTCCTAATTAAAAAAAAATGCATATTGAGGTAATTAATTCTCTCTTTTCCTATTATTTTGCTCCAAGAACTACTTTAAATCATCCAGAAACTTTTGTATGTTGTTTCATTGTTACAGTTTTCTTTCATATAATTTGTTCATTATTTCTATGATTTAATCTTTTACATATTTATTACTTAGGATTTCATTATTGAGTCTCCATTTGCATCTGTATCCTTTGACTGTGTCTGTGTTCCCTGAACCAATTACTATTATTACATTATGGTCTATACAGGATATATTTATTATTTTTGAATTTTTACATTTGTTTGCTATGTCTCTGTGAAGTGTTTGATGGTCTTCTTTTAAAATTTCTAAGTATTTTATTTTTTTACAATTACATGTAAAACAATTTTTAGCATTCATTTTAAAAACTTTTAAGTTCCAAATTCTATCCTTCCTTCCCTTCCTTCTCCTTTTCCCTCTCTGAGACCATAAGCAATCTGATAGAGGTTATACATGTACAGCAGGTCCTCAGGACACTTATGGCAAGCCAAAAGATTTCAGGCAGCCTGTGAAAAATGTAAAGGAAAACATCCTTTGTATGCAGAGGAAATCTTTTGGCAAGCCACAAGTGGCCTGCAGGTCACAAGGGGCCCACGGGTCATAGGCTGTGCAGTCCTGATGTATTATCATGCAAAACATATTTCCATAATAGTCCTTATGAAAGAAAACAGACCAAAATAAACAAATAAATAAAGAGAACAAAAAAGATCATGCTTCAATTTTCCTTCAGACTCCATCAGTTCTTCCTCTGGAGGTAGACAGCACATTTCATCATCAGTCTTTCAAAATGGTCTTTGAAAAATATTATTGTATTGCTGAGAATAGCTAAGTCATTCACAGCTGTTCTTCATCATGCAATATTGCTGATACTATGTACAATGTTCTCCTGTTTCTGCTCACTTCACATTCCATCAGTTCATATGTATCTTCCCAGGTTTCTCTGAAAGCACCCTACTAGTCATTTCTTACAGCATAACAGTATTCTATCACAATCATATACCACAACTTGTTCAGCCATTCCCCAACTGATGGATATCCCCTCAATTTCCAATTCTTTGCCACCACAAAAAGAGTTGCTATAAATATTTATGTACATATAGATCCTTTTCCTTTTTATTTAATCTCTTTGAGATACAAACCAAGTTGTGGTCTTGCTGGATCAAAGGGTATACATGGTTTTGGGACATAGTTCCAAATTACTCTCCAGAATGGTTGGACCAGTTCACAATTCTACTAACAGTGCTTTAGTGTCCCAATTTTCCATATCCCCTCCAACATTTGTGATTTTCCTTTTCTGTCATATTAGCCAATCCGATAGGTATGAGGTAGTACCTTGTTTTAATTTGTATTTCTCTAATTGTTAGTGATTTAGAGCATTTTTTACATGACTTTAGATAGCTTTGGTTACTTCATCTAGAAAATGCCTGTTGATATCCTTTGACCATTTATCAATTAAGGAATGACTTGTATTCTTATAAATTTGACTCAATTCTTTATATATTTGAGAAATGAAGCCTTACTCAGAAAAACTTTCTGTAAAAATTTTTTCAGTTATGATTACTGTATATTTTCTTCTATCTTATTTTTCTCTTTCACCTTGTCCTTCCTCAAACTTTGCTTCTTGCCACCATCTCCCCAAATCTGCCCTTCCTTCTATCAGCCCCTCCCCTCTCTCTTATCCTCTCCCTTTCCTACTTCCCTGTAGGGCTAGATAGATTTCTATACCCAGCTGAGTATATATGTTATTCCCTCTTTGAGCCAATTCTAATAAGAAGAAGGTTCAAGTGTTGCCTGTCACTCTCCTTTCTTCCCCTCCACTGTAAAAGCTTTTCCTTGCCTCTTTTATTGGAGATAATTTACCCTATTCGACTCTCCCCTTCCCCCATCTCCCATTGCACTCCTCTTTTTAACCCCTTAATTTTGTATTTTTAAAATATCTTCCCATCATAGCTCACATCTGTGCCCTCTGCCTATGTATATTCCTTCCAACTGCCCTAATAATGAGAAAGTTCTTAGGACTTACAAGTATCATCATCCCATACAGGAATGTAAACAGTTCAACTTTATTGAATACCTTATAAATTCTTTTTCCTGTTTACTTTTTTTATGTATCTCTTGAGTGTTGTATGTAAAAGTCAAATTTTCTATTCAGTTCCAGTCTTTTCACCAGATATGCTTGAAAGTCCTCTATTTCATTGAATATCCATTTTTCCCCCCTGAAGGATTATACTTAGTTTTGTTAGGTAGGTGTTCTCAGATGTATTCCTAGCTCCTCTGCCTTCTGGAATATCGTATTCCAGGCTTTCTGATTCTTTTATGAAGAAGCTGCTAAATCTTGTGTGATCCTGACTGTGACTCCGTGATATTTGAATTGCTTCTTTGTGGCTACTTGCAATATTTTCTCCTTAACCTGAGAGCTCTGGAATTTGACTATAGTATTTCTGGAAGTTTTCATTTTGGGAACTATTTCAGGAGGTAATCAGTGGATTCTTTCCATTTCTATTTTACCCTCTGATTCCTGGATATCAGAGCAGTTTTTCTTCATAATTTCTTGAAATATGATGTCTAGGTTTTTGTTTTTGTTTTTTTTTTTATCATGGCTTTCAGGTAGTCCAATAATTCTTAAATTATCTCACCTCAATCTATCTTCTAAGTTAGTTGCTTTTCCAGTG